TTGTTGCTTTGTTAAACTTTTTTATGTCTTTTTTCTTACCTTTGTTTTTTTTGTCGTGTTTTTACTCGTTTGTTTTGACCTTTTTTTTGGTCTTAGATTATGCCCATTTTTTATATATTTTTAGCTAACCTTTTTTCGTCAGCTTTTTGTTTTTTTGGTCCTTTTTTTATCGCTTACTTGTCGCTTTGTAGTTTCTATTTTTGTCCTCTTTTATTGTGGTCTTTTTGTGCTTTTTTTTCCCTTTTTGTCGTTTCTTTTGTCGCCTTTTTTCGTTTTTACTTTGCAATTTTTTGATCGTTCAGTTTTTTCTATTTTTCAATTTTTCGGTTTGTCAATTTTTGATTGTTATATTTTTCGATTTTTCAGTTTTTGATGTATACAATGCACATCGGTTTTCAAGACGCAAATTTAACTAAGTATAATAATTTTCTGAATATTGCCAGTTTTCCCGTTTCATCCCAATTTCAAACTTTTCATCTTCTCAATTTCCCGCCTTTTTGGTCTGTATGTTTCGATTTTGAAGTTTTCAATTATTGGATTTTCCAAATCCGTGATAATTACGAGGTTTGATTTTTTCGATTTTACAATAATTTTTGGTTTGCAGTTTTTCTATGACTAATTTTAAAATTTCGAAATTTTGTTTTTTGTCATCTTTTTATCGTTTTTTGTCGATTTTTGACCGATTCTTTTGTCGTTTTTTTTTGTTGCATTTCTTGCGGCTTTGTCGTCCTTTTTTTTACCCACTTTTTATTCTTTCCTTTTTCTCGAATGTTTGCGATTTTGCAATTTTTTAGTACTTCAGTTTTTCGATTTTGTCAGTTTCAAAATTTTCGATTTTTCTATTTTTCATTTTTCAGTTTTTCATTTTTCAATTTATCCACTTTAATTTTTGATTTGTCAATTTTTTGTTTTTACGATTTTTCAGTTTTTCGATTTTGGAATTTTTCGATTTCAATTCCAGTTTTTCAGTTTTTCAGTTTTCCGGTCTTTCGAAATTTGAACTTTGAAATCTTGAAATTTTGATTTTTGGCATCTTTTTATCGTTTTTTTTGTCGTCATTTCGCCGTTTTTTTAGTCTATTCTTTTGTGGTTTTTTTGTTGCATTTTTTGTGACTTTGTTGTCTTTTTTTGTTGCATTTTTTGTACCAATTTTTTATTTTATTTTTGTGTTGCCTATTTTTTGTCGCGCTTTTTTATTTTTGATTTCTTTTTTGTCGATTTTTGCAATTTTGATTCTTCAATTTATCCACTTTAATTTTGGATTTGTCAATTTTTTGCTTTTACGATTTTTCAGTTTTTCGATTTCGGAATTTTTCGATATCCATTCCAGTTTTTCAGTTTTTCAATTTTGCGGTCTGTCAACTTTTGATTGTTTAAATTTTTCGTGGTTTCAGTTTTTCGATTTTTCAATTTTTGATGTATTCGCCAAAGCACACTGGTTTCAAAGACAGAAATTTGACAATAATTTTCTGAAAATTGTCAGTTTTCCGATTTCATTTCAAATTCAAACTTTTCATCTTCTTAATTTCCTGCTATTTTGGTCTCAGTGTTTCGATTTTGAAGAATTACTACATATGATTTTTTGATTTTGCAATAATTTTGGTTTTTTCAGTCTTCCAAGTTTTAAGTTTTGACATTTAAAATCTACAATTTTTCAGGTTTCGTTTTTCTTACTAACGTTTTTGCGTTGCAATTTTTCACTATTTTTGAAATTTCGAAATATGAAGTTTTGAAATCTTGAAATTTTGATTTTTGGCATCTTTTTATTGTTTTTCTTATCGTCTTGTTTTCACCTTTTTTTTGGTCGATTGTTTTATCGTTTTTTAATTGCTTTTTTTTTACGACTTTATTGCCCTTTTTTTTGTTTGTTTTTTATTATATTTCTATATTGTCTATTTTTTGTCGAATTTTTTTTCGTTTTTCGTTTCTTTTTTGTCGAATTTACAATTTTTTATTTCTTCAGTTTTTAGATTCTTTATTTTGTCGGTTTAAAATTTTTAGATTTTTCCATTTGTCATTTTTCATTTATTTGATTTTTCAATTTTTCCGCTTTAATTTTTGGTTTGCTAATTTTTAGTTTTTACGATTTTTCAGTATTTCGATTTCTGAATTTTTCTATTTTCATTCCGATTTTTCAGTTATTTAATTTTTCCAATCCTCAATTTTTAATTATTAAATTTTGGGTCTTTTCAGTTTTTCAGTTTTTCAAACTGTGATGTATCAAGGCATTTCGGTTTCAATGACGCAAATTTGACTATAATTTTTTGAAAATTGATTTTAAAATTTTCAGTTGGTCGATTTTTCAAATTCGTGATAATTACTACATTCGAATTTTTCTTTTTTTTTCAGTTTTTCAAGTTTTAATTTTTGACATTTAAAATTTACAGTTTTTTGATGTTTGATTTTTTTTAATAACGCTTTTGCTTTGAAATTTTTTGCTCACTAATTTTGAAATTTCGAAATTTGAAGTTTTGAAATCTTGAAATTTTGTTTTTTGACATTTTTTGAATTGTTTTTTTGTCGTCTTTTTTCGCCTTTTTTTGGTTTTTTTGTAGTTTTTTTGTTGCATTGGTCGTCCTTTTTTTGTTTTTTTGTTGTACCCATTTTTTATTATATTTTTGTGTTGCTCCTTTTTGACGCATTTTTGTCGTTTTTGATTTCTTTTTTGTCCAATTTTTACGATTTTGCAACTATTCAGTTTTTCGACTTTTAATTTTTTCAGTTTGAAATATTTCAATTTTTCCACTTTAATTTTGGTTTCTCAAATTTTAGTTTTTACGATTTTTCAGTTTTTCGATTTCAGAATTTTTCGATTTTCATTCCAGTTTCTCAGTTATTCAATTTTCCGATTTCTCAATTTTTGATTGTTAAATTTTTCGTCGTTTCAATTTTTCGATTTTTCTATTTTTCATGAATATACCAAAACACATCGGCTTTAATGACCCAAATTTGATTACAATTTTCTGAAAATTGTGAGTTTTCCGATTTTATTTCAATTTCAAATGTTACAATTTTCATCTTCTCAATTTTCTGCTTTTTTCGATTTGATAATTACCAGATTTATCTCGATTTTACAATAATTTTTGGTTTTTCAATTTTTCGAAGTCTTAATTTTTGACATTTTAAATTAACAATTTTTCAATTGTCGTTTTTTAACTAACGATTTTGCTTTCCATTTTTTCGATCACTACTTTTGAAATTCGAAATTTGAAGTTTTGAATTCTTCAAATTTTGTTTTTTTTTCTCTTTTTATCGGCTTTTTCGTCTTTTTTCGTCTTTTTTTTTGGTCGATTCTTTTGTCGTTTTTTTGTTACATTTTTGCGCCGTTGTCCTTTTTTTTGTACCTACCCATTTTTTTTTGTATTTTTCTGTTGCCTCTTTTTTGTCGCATTTTTTCGTTTTTGCTTTCATTTTTACGATTTTGCAAAATTAGTTCTACAGGTTTTCGAGTTTTCATTTTGTCAGTTTCAAATTTGTCGATTTTTCCATTTTTGATTTTTCATCATTTGATTTTTCAGTTTTTCCACTTCAATTTTTCCATTTTAATTTATGATTTGTCATATGTACGAGTTTTCAGTTTTTCGAATTCTGAATTTTTCGAGTGGTTGCAGATTTCCGATTCTTCAATTTTTGATGTATACAATACACCAAAGCACATCGGTTTCAATGGCACAAATTTGATTATAATTTTTTGAAAATTGTCAGTTTTCTGATTTCATTTCAATTTCTAATGTTTAATCTTCTCAATTTTCTGCTTTTTTGGTCTCGATTTTTCAATCAAGGCTTCAATGTTCCGATGTTACTGTAATTTTTGGTTTTTTCAACTTTTCGAAGTTTTACTTTTTGATTTTTTTAGTAACGATTTTGCTTTGCGATTTTCCGATCACTAGTTCTGAAATTTTTAAATTTCGAATATTTCTGTTGTGTCACCTCTTTTGTTGCTTCTTCTTTGTGGTCTTTTTTTGTTGTTTTTTTCGTCATAATTTTTATATAACGTTAAAAAAAATTGAAGAAGCAAGCGTGTTCAATATTATTTCTAGAGAAATTTTAAGAATTAATTTAGTTTTCTTTGATCGTGGTAAAAAGTAGAAATTATTGTAAACAATTGATTTATTATCAGTTCCAGGTTTACGAACAAGCGTAATTCATATAAAATCATCCAAGCTTTTTAGAAGAATAATTGAACACAAAATCATCGCAGAAATTGTATACCTACTATAAAATTTGTAAAGAATTTCAGGACCTAAATAAAACTAGATTTTTTTCCGGAAAAACACGTTTTTCTCTCTTAGTTGAAGAAGTATATCGAAAATACGTCCGGATAAATTCGTAATCCCGAAAAAAATTTCGGTCAAAGGTTCATTTTATTGTATTAATCTTTATCAAAAAGTGGTGGATACGCCGGGATAGTTAATAAAAAAAATTTTGTTTTTCTTTATTTTTATTAATAGATCCGTTTCATCGGAGATATAAAATGTTTGTTTTTATTGTATTATCGATTACGCTTGTTTAATGTTTTGTTTGTATCGTATTGTTATTTTTTCGCTTTCTCTCCTGTTAAATTTCGCTCTCCGGTGCTGTCCATCTTGCTCACTTCCTGATGGGCGCTTCCCGCCTGACGAATGCCAGCGGAATAGCAAGTTATGTAAAAGTGAACCCTCTTCACGGCCCGCCGTAATTAAGCGTCTTCTGACGGGCAGAAAAGGGTAAAAATTGATAACGTGCTGAAATGGTGGATGCGCCGGGCGAATTTGTCTATTAAAGTCGAGCCGGTGGCGGCTCCCAACTCCGTCTCGATAATGCGCTAAAGCAATATAAAACTCAACTTAGGAAGTTGTTATTTGATAAAATGAAACACTATCAAACAAGTGTTAAGGGTAATTGGCGCTTCTAAAAACTTTTCAAAGTTTTTAGCTCCCGCGCGGGATTTTCTTCTTATATAGTGCTAATCGATCCGACCCTGCGCCGCCTCCTTCTAATTGCTCTTGTGTTTGTTGCAGGGCGGCGACGTCGTCCAAGAAAACATCTTCGCTAACGTCACAGACGACACCGTCAGTTTGGAATTCCAAAGGTCAGACGGGACACTAATTACCCAAGTTATAGACTTCAGAAACGTGAGTACCTCGCACATGATATATAGCCCGTTCGCGGAATTGCCTTTGGCACCATTGTCAGGCCTCGTTTATTCGCCGGCGAATTTGCGGCCCATTTGCAGTATTAAAATCGTATATCCCGAACGGAAAAACTTTGCCTCTTGTTTTTCAATCGGCGAACTTTGTATAGTCCTCGGGAGAGAGTTTCTCGTCCTGGGGTTTGATTCCAGTTATTTCTTTCTACAAAGGGGAATCGATTGGTGATTTTGCACTTTCCATACCTAATGCCCACCTACCTGTTTATGTCGGTGCGACAAAGTTTGTATTTGATCAAGGAACACTCGGAACTTGATAAAAGTTGCCTTGTTTGCCGACAAAAACGTCGCGCTAAAAGGATTAGAATGTCACTGTCGAATATTTATCGGGCGGGGCGGATTTCGACGTTTTTATTAATTCTGGAACGACATGAGGGAGTTGGGGAAGTGACAAGGTTGCGAAGGGGGGCCATTGTGGCGCTCAAAAGGATGAAATAATGGGTTTGTAATTACGGTTATTGTGTTGCGGGACCGGGTTGGAGAAGTCGCGGTGAATATTGTACGGAAATTTTTACAGATTAACCCGGGGAAATGTCGCTTTTTGCGCAAACTTGCTGCAAAACAAATACCTTTTTTACGTTTTGAATTTATTTAATCGATATTTGCCGGTGCGGAATTAACACTTCTCGGCACGGTTTCATTACATATTCAAAATTAATTAATGTTAATTTATATGGCGGCCACGCTATAAGCGTGTTGCAACATGATGAATACGATGTTGGCGATAAAAAATTAAATATTGCTAGAATTTACAAAGTTGAGGTTCGTTTTAAACAGGCGGAAAAACGAAACATAAAAACGTTTTTCTTAGTTTAGATATTACTGGATTACGTACAAGTTGAATACTGTGTGAAAAATGACCATTCGGTTTTCGCCGAGATGGCTGTGGAAACTGTACAGTCGAGAATGTTCTGGTTATGGAAGATTCTAGAGCATCCGATTAAAATTTTCATTTTAAGAATTTCAAGGATGTTAATCACAACACAAGCATAGATTTAAACCCGTTTAAAATGATCTGATTTTCGGTCTCGCCACCTAAACACTAGAGAAGATGTTCAAAATTCCTACCTTGTCCATTTTTTCTTAATATAAGAAGTCATTTTTTTCCAATAAGAAACTGAAAACATGTGTAACTATCCTATTGTTGAGAGTAAATTCTATACATAAAAAAAACGAAGATTAAGCCCCACCCACCCGCCCCAATCTCAATTGTGACGAAGTTCATATGGTAATTTCTTGTAAACAAATGAGGATTCTCCAACTAAACTCCGCCCTTCAGGAAATGATGAATAAAACATTCATCACAATTGAGAAGGGGTGGGTGGGCGGGGTTTATATTTTGTCCATTTTGTCTTAACATACAAAGTCTTCTTTTCCCAACAAAAAACTGAAAATATGTTGAACTATCCTGTTGTTGAAAGAAAACTCTATATATTAAAAAAAAACAAAAATTAACATTGAATTTTTCAATTTAACAATAATTAATTATTATTTGTATTCTCAATTTTTCGATTTTTTAAAGTAACGATTTTCCTCTGCAATCTTTCAATCACTAATTTTGAAATTTCGAAATTTGAAGTTTTGAAATCTTGAAATTTTGTTCTTGTCAGCTTTTTGTCGTTTTTTTTTTGTCGTCTTTTGCCCCTTTTTTACGGTCTATTTTTTGTCGTTTTTTGGTGGATTTTTTGGGCTTCGTCGTCCTTGTTTTCTTTTTGTTTTTTGTACCCATTTTTTACAATATTTTTGTGTCGCATTTTTTTCGTTTTTCATTTCTTTTTTGTCCAATTTTTTCGATTCTGCAATTTTTTAGTTCTTCAGTTTTTTGATTTTTCATTTTGACAGTTTGAAAATTTTCGATTTTATTTTTGATGTTTCATTTATTTAGATTTTCAGTTTTTTCACTTTAATTTTTGATTTTTCAATTTTGCCACTTCAATTTTTTATTTGCCAATTTTTTGTTTTTAAGATTTTTCAGTTTTTTGATTTCTGAATTTTTCGATTTTCATCCCAGTTTTTCAGTTATTCAATTTTACGATTTCTCAGTTTTTGATTGTTAAATTGTACAATTTTTCAGTTTTTGATGTATACTAAGCACATCGGTTTCAAAGACGCAAATTTGGCTATAATTTTCTGAAAATTGAGAGTTTTCCGATTTCATTTCAATTTCAAATGTTAATCTCTCCATCTTCTGAAATTCCTGCTGTTTTGGTGTCAAATTTTCGATTTTAAAGTTTTCAGTTGTTTGATTTTTCAAATTCGTGACAATTACTAGATTTGACAGTTAAAATCTGCAATTTTTCAGTTTTCGTTTTTTTTTGTAACAATTTTGCTTTGCAATTTAAATCTGAAGTTTTGACATCTTGAAATTTTGATTTTTGTCTTTTTTTTATTGCTTTTTGTTGTCTTTTTTTCGGCTTTTTTTTGGTCGATTTTTTTGTGGTTTTTTTGTTGCACTTTTTGCGGCTTGGTCGTCTTTTTTTTTATTTTTTTTTGTTGTACCCATTTTTTATTATATTTGTGTGTTGCTTCTTTTTGACGCATTTTTGTCGTTTTTGATTTCTTTTTTATCCAATTTTTACGATTCTGCAATTTTTTAGTTTTTAAGTTTTTCGATTTTTCATCTTTTCAGTTTCAAATTTTTCGATTTTCCATTTTTAATTTTTCGTTTATTTGGTTTTTGAATTTTTCCACTTTGATTTTCGATTTGTCAATTTTTTTTTGTTAAAATTTCGTAAAGTTATTTAATTATTTTTTATTCAGTTATAATTGAAATGTTTTTGGAGTATGTGTAATTTCGATTTTATTTTTACTCGCAATTTTCTGTTCACTAGTTGTGAAATTTCAAAATTTGAAGTTCTAAAATCTTGAAATTTTGTTTTTTTTTCATACTCCTATTTTTTATCGTTTTTTGTCATCTCTTTTATTTTATTTTTGTGTTGCTTCTTTTTTATGGTCTTTTTTTGTGGCTTACCGAAAAGTTGAAAAATTGAGAAATCGAAGTATATAACAGTCGAAAAATTGAAAAATCAAATGTCTAAAAAACGAAAAATTGAAAATCCAAAAAGTAAAACGTTGAGAAATCGAAAAATCCAGATCTTGAAAAATTGAAAAATAGGAGAAAAATTAAAGAATCGAAAAACTGGAAAATCGAAAAATTGAAGAACTGGAGAACTGAAAGATCGAAACTTTGGAAGTCGAGAAATGGGACAATCAAAAAATAATTGAGAAATCGGAAAACCGAAAATTCAGAAACGTCAAAATCTGAAAAATTAAAAAATATTGAAGAACTGAAAAGTCGACAAAGCGAAAATTTAACATATTGAAAAACAAAAAAGAGAAATCTAAACATAATATATCAAAAAAAAAAAAAAAAATTGAAAATGTAAAATTTAAAAATCGAAAAACTGAAAAATCAACAAATCGAGAAATCGAAACTTGAAAATAAGAAAAATTGGAAAATTGAAAAATCGAACAATTCAAAAATCGAAACATCGAAAAATTCAAAAATTGAGACATCGAGAACCCAAAAAAATCAAAAGAACGCGAAATCGAGGACTCGAAAAGTCGAGAAGTCGAAAAATCGAAAAAATGGAGACCGAAATAGGTCAAAATCGAAAAAAGTTAAAAATGGAAAAATTTATAAATCGAGAGATTGAACAATCAAAACATCAAAATATCCGAATCTCGATAAATCGAGATCTCAAAAAATTGAAAAATCGAAAATTTAAAAATTCGGATAAATGTATAACTAAAATATCGAAATGTCGAAAAATTGAGAAATTGAAATATAAAACAGTCGAAAAATTGAAAAATTTAAAGTTTAAAAAACGAAAAATTGAACAATCAAAACAGTGAAAAATTGAAAAATTTTAAAAGAAAAACTAGAAAGTCTAAAATTTATTAATTCAGAAAATTGAAAAATTGAGATATAGAAGAACTGAAAACTCGAGAAATCAAAAACCCAGAATTTTAAAAATTGAAAAATTAAGACATTGGAAAGGTGAAAAATTGAAAATCCAAAAAGAAAAAATCGAGAAATCGAAACATTAAAAACTCGTAATATCGGTATAATAAATTTTAAAACTCGAAATATTTTTGAAAAGCCGAAAAATTGAAATTCGAAAATTGGAAAATCGAAAGATCAAGCAATCAAAACACCAAAAAAATCGAGAAATTAAAGTAACCAAAAATTGAAAACTTAAAAAAATTGAGAAATCTAAAAATCGAAAAAGGGATTTTTTTTAAATCGTATAATCGTTTAATTGAAATTCAAACATCAGAATATCGTAATATCAAAAAAATTAAAAAATCTAAAAATTTAATCAAAAAACTGAAAAATCGGGAAATTGAAAATTTCAAAACTGAGGTTACAAAAAATTAGGAAATTCAAAAATTGAGAAATCGAACCATCGAAAAATTGCAAAAGCGAAAAGCGAAAGTCGAAAGAAAATAGAGAACTCGAAACAACAAAGATCGAGAAATCGAGAAATGGGGAAGTTGGAGAATCGATAACTTGATCGAAATAGGTTAAAATATAGAAAAATCTAAAAGTAAAAAATTGAAAGATTTAAAATTTAAAAAATCGATAAATTGAGAATTTGAACAGTAAAACAATCGAAACATCGGAATCTCGAAAAATCGAGAAACTGAAAAACCGAAAAATAAAAAATTTTAAAAATCGAAACATCAATTTCGCGATAAATGTTTTTTTTTAATTTTTCCATTTCTCGATTTCTCGACTTTTCAATGTTTCGATTTTTCAGTTCTTCGATTGCAGAATCGAAACTGAAAAATCTAAAATTTAAAAATTCGAAAACCTGAAATATCGAAGGACTGAAAAAGCGCGATATCGAGATATGAAAAAAATCGGGAAATAGAAAAATTGAAGAATCGAAATACTGAAAAATCCTAAAACTGGAAAATCGA